ATCTCGTCTGATTTCTCGACTCCGAGCACCAACGGCTACTCGAACGACGTCAAGCAGGACATGCCCAAGGAGGCCAGCCCCTCGGGTGTCAGCGACCTTGCGGTGTAAGACAGTGGCGGATGGTGTAAAGCACCGCATGTGTGATATACCTAGTGCATGAGCGAGCGAATCTACCAAGCAAGCAGAGCCCACGAGAACACTGCAGCGGCTTAGGAAGGTGAGGGATTGGCCCCTGTAGATAAAAGTGTAACATATAACCTAATTGTCGATCCAATTCTTGCCGTTTGTCCTTCGGTTCCATTTCCTTCACCTTTGCTACCAAGATCTAAAGGGTGCTCATGCATCTACCAAGAAGACGGGAACGCTGTCATGACGAGCGTGTTGCCTATGGAAGTGCGTCGTGTTGCTCGTTGTCCGAGTGCGGCATCGCGTTAGCGTCGACGGCTCCGAGCCACAGGCGCCATCTGCTGCGAGGACAGCTGGGCAAGGTCGGAATCAACGCTTCAACGGAGGTGGTGGTGACGAGACTGACCCCGTGACCGAGAGCCCCATATGGCGGGCAATGGAGCCATCTAGCAGCGGAGAGAACCAACGCACCGTCGCGGCAGACACCGGAGTCCCTTCAGCGGCAAGCGCAGCGCTTCATTGCGCGTCTTCCGGGCGCTCCACACTCGAGGACGAATGGGTGGTGCTCGACGAGAGCCACTTAGGCCTCCCTGAATGCGCGATCGCCGATCGCGACGGACATGGATTCGAGAACGGTGTCGAAGTGATTCGCTGATTACAATCGAACGACGCGTTGTGTGCACGCACTTCCAATCCATGACGGATCCTTTGATGGCGCGGGTCACGAGATCGGCAGGTGTCTCTCGCAGGCATCGCTTTCCTCTCGGTGGAGTGCTGCGAGTCTGCAGCAGATAGAGAGCACGTAGCTGTCGAGGCTTTCCGAGTAAAAGTTGGTAACCTAATTGATGCAGGCTTTCCAAGCTCTCTTCACCTCCACTGTCATTGATGCAGGCTTTCCAAGTTCTCTTCACCTCCGCATGGAGACTCCTGGGACTTTAATCCTGAGCGCCGCGGTATTGCAGCGTCTCTGAAGATGACAGGCAGCAAGGCGAGTGGGCCGTTGAGTCAACTGCGATGTGTCGATCACTAACAGTGAAGATGACGCTGACGGGCCTGCAGCTCATATCAACATTGCCGGTGGAACCAGGGGGCTCCAGTCCACGTTTCCAAGTAAAAAAATAACATTTGAGAGTTATCCTACCAAAACGAGTTATAGCCTTCACGTAGCGGCCTCACTTAGCTGTGATATTCTAGCGCGACAGTGCTAGAACAGCTTGCTGTAATGCTTCAGCAGGGGCTGTTGCTAAAGGCGCTGCTGCCTGTGGCGGGCGAGAATGCAAATCGGTTCGGCCTCCTCGCACGAAGTTAGATTTGCTGCATCCAACACGCAGCGTCCTTTTATAATAAAAGTTTTATCATCGCACACCCATCCACTGTGGATTCCTCCACTCGCTACTTGTCCTTCTTCTGTTTGTCTTCTGGCGGATACAAGATGCTTCGCACATAATCTCCTCCGTGGTACAACCCCACTGCAATGTCCTTGGATGTCTGTAATGTGAACCACGCCGCGTTCCAGCCCATGCCCAACAGCGATCTGGACCCCGCTACCGCCTGCTTGTCCTCCGCTGCTTCCTTTGCCCTGTCCAATTCCGCCTGCCGAGCATTCTTCTCCGCGACGTCCTCCATGCCCGGGACGCCCTCCAGTGGCTCCAGTGGTGCGTCCTCTTCTCCTATTCCGCTG